GTGGTATGGCATCATGAACTGATGTACTTACGTAAGAAGTTCTACCTTTCATCTGACTGACTGATTTGAAATATCTGATTATTGTTAAAAATGGATCTGATCGATTCCGTAGTTGAAATCAATCTTCGCTTGCATATATACAATATGTGCAAATTATGTCAACAAGGAGAATCCAAGACTTGTATTTCGTTCAATATGAAATTCATCAGCTGGAATTTGTACAGTGAGACACAAGCTCAATACCTTTACTTTAAACGCTCAATTTGCTGTTCGCTACTCTGTTGAACATTGATACGAACATAAATCTACATCCAGCTATGGAGTTTCAACTAAAGAACAATGTGAGTCTCATATTCCACCGCTTACAGCAATATACAATTTCTATCGATCATTATTACTTGATTAATAAATCTGTAGATTGATTATATAGAGGCAGAGATTATCATCATTGGGACCGGCCAAGTGGTGCAGATGTTAGGCGTTCCCTCACAACATCGAAGGTCCTGGTTTCGAGTCGTGCCAGGTGCAGGAGTCATCGATGCGCACTGTCACTGATGAGTAGTCCCATACCAGGATGAAACTGCCGTCTTTCAGTGCTTTCAGGTTTCTAATAGTTTGGTCTAACAAAATGGTTGATTGATGATTTCAACGTGCAAATAATATATACCTATTTTTTTTTATACAATCAAGATAATTGTTTTTTGGGTTGGCATTTATAAATTTAATATGTCTGTTGATCAAATTTATATTCATTTATTAAGTTTTTAAATGAAAAAAAAACCTACTGGTCATTATTTTTCATTACAAAAATTTATATGAATTATTTTTAATATGTCTGATTTGATGTACACGTATTCATATGAAATTTGTTTACTTCAAGAGACAATGGAGTTAATCGAATTTATTGATCTTGTCCAATAAAAACTATAAACTGTATATATTGGCTAGTCTATACATATATGTATATATGATGTGTTGTATATCTGGAGTTCCAGTGAGAAATCATGACCGACGGGGTCGAATACATGTCATTTAGGAGACAGTTATCCACCGTAGACAATGGATGAAGGTTATGTGACATCGTGAATCAAACATAAAAACCGTTGAGTGCCTACTCAGTGATCTAGAAATAAACTTCTCTGCGCACCAGACCGATAGTCCTGGATTAGATTCCCGTTCTCGGGGTTGTGGATGCGCACTGTCGACGAGTCCCATACTAGGATGAAACAAAAGTCATTCAGTCAGTCAGTCAGATACAACGTAGAACTTCGTACGTACGTAAGTACATCAGTTCATGTTGCCATACCACATCAGCACACAGATATAATTGTCAATTCAAATCCAATAATAGAAGAGGTAGTTAAGGTATTAGAAGTTATCGGATAGGTTAGGATTAGAAGATATTATTCAAGAAGTATGATTCAGTGAGTTAAGTTTAGTAAGTCAAAACTATAGGTGTTGAAGAATCTAGAAGATTAGGATTTGAAAGAACACAAAGAATAAATGCACCGGAGCCACTGCAAACGATTTTGAGCCATGTCATTCAGGGTCACTAACCATCGATTATTATCATCTTGCGGACCTCAACCAGGTAGTCGACAACTACCAGTCGATGGTTAGGCATACGCAATACATGTCCCAACCACCTCAACTGATGAAGTTTCATTAATTCATCTATTGATCTGCCATTCTTTCTAGCACGCGTCTCCTAATAACAGTGTTGCTCACTCGAGTGTCTCACGATATACGAGCAATGCTTTGAACTCGTATGATCGAAAACCAATAACCGATATTCGTCGGTCATTCGTCATTCAGTGCTCCCAAGTTTCTAGTAGGTGTTCAGCTTGGATTAATTCGTGAAACATATACTGTGTTTATCAAACACTGGTTTACTTTATATAAAATATCTCTAATTTTCTTACATGATTAGGTTTTTATAAAAATAAACGAACATGCAATTTACAAATGATAATAACAACACGATATTTATGTTTATTTAGTGGTAAAAAATTTTTTTTGTTCCTATAAACTAGACAAAACTTAATCGCTTAATCATTTCATTATGAAAATCATAGAAAAATCTAGAACGACTGAAGTTTTTGAGACAAGTTATTTTTTAAAAAATGAAACAATTGAAGAGACTGCACTTTAGAGATGGTGAAGAAAATTTTTGTAGCTCAAGTGGATAATTGTGGTGGAGTTTCGTTCACTGAGCTGAATGTTTTTGTTGTTTGAAGCTTTTTATCATTGTGCTTCTGTTCAGTCAGGAAAATGATAGGCGAACATCGGATCAAGAAACAGATCAAAAGGGGGATACAATCAAAATAAAGGTGCAAACAACGACAGGGGTGAGGTCAATAACAACCATTCAAGATCAAGGTTAACAGAACAAGCTGCAGGTCACACGTGGAGAAATTCGAATACTTCACTTCTTCTCTCTGAATTTTGTGCTGATGATGTTGTTGTTCAGAAGATTAACAATGATGAAAGCTTCATAACCAAAACATCCACTCAGATAAAAATGAAACTCCGCCATGAAGTACTTCAGATGATAAATGTTTTTTCGTTTAGCAGATTCACATTATATTTTCAATTAAAATTATGGAGATCAGTGTTTGTACACATCGATATCATTAATTAATCATTGCTACACCATCATTAGAAACCTGGAAGCACTAGACGGTCATTTCGTCCTGGTGTGGGACTTATGATCAGTGCACATCTACGACTCCCACTACTGACGGGAATCGGACCCAGGGCCTTCATTATTGCGATAGCCTGACCACTGGACCACTGAGCCGACCACCGATGTTGTTAATGCTTAACTTCGATAGATCAATGATATTACGCAAGCTCCCTCATTGTCTTCAGTGAACAGTACTTCAAACACTTAAATAGAGATGAATCCCATTAGTCATGGCATCTCAATAGAACTCAGAGAATTTCGGCACAAAGATAACCACTAGTGAGTGCATGATAATTGTTGTTATGTGGTTATGAATATTGCTGAATCTCAATAAAACCAGCTCAGAGGTCTAGAGGTCAAGCGTTTTTGAGTGCGGAGGTGGTTGATATACACTTCTGGTAAGTCCCATACTAGGACAAAACTGCCATTCAGTGCTTACAGGTTTTTAATGGTGGTCTAGATTTGATCCATTCATCATTTCAACAGGTTTCAACAATCTTCAGAAAGTGTTGTAAATAATATATGTAATATATATATATATATATATATATATATATATATATATATATATATATATATATATATATATATATAATATGTTAAAGAAGTTTCAGTATCATCAAACACGGGAACACGAGATCATAGAGCTAAATTAAATAACTGATTATGTAAAGCAATTTCGAATAATGTCAGTTGGGATCATTTAGTTAAAATAAGAAGTTATGAATCTCAGAGAGACAGAAAAATGTTTTGTAGGAATGACTCAATAGGCCGGTGATAAATTCACTACGGTATAGAAAGTTTTATAATTGAAACCTAAATCTGGCTTGAAGAGTTTAATGCCTACAGCTTTCCGTAAACTTGAGAAGAATAGAATTTGATTATCAAGCAACAATGCTAAAAGATTCCAGTTTGTCAACCTGATAACTAGTGTAACAGAGATGTTCTACAAGAACGCTACTATAAGTCTTTAATCTTATTGACAGGAGCCATTTTCAGGATATGTTCTTGGAATCGAACACTGGTTCCATTCTTTCGATTCTACCCATATAACTACTGTCGAGGTGACATGTGAATTTTTGTATGCGTAGTTAGCACCAACATGAATTGAGTAACTGACAGCTGTTGAATAAAGTAAATATTGTTTTATTCATGACAGTCAGCTTGGCTTCAGGATAAGTTGTGGTGACAATTGTTAGTGTATAGAATTCTAGTTATTTCATTGTTGTACCTTGTCAATTTGATTTTAACCACACAAAGCGATAACCCTATTTTGTATGAAACTCAGTGATAATCAGATTTTGTATCGAACAACATATTGTTTATGAAAAAAATGACACCAGGATTTAAGGCTCAATACTTTCCTACATTAGTCAACTTGTCATAAAACAAAAAATCTCTTTCAGTGCTTCTCAGTATCTAGTATCATTTTATTAAGTAAGACTAGACTAGACGAATCGTCGTTCCACAATGAGATCTTTAAGTTGATACATTTTTCAACATTATTTTCAATAGCAAATAAGGCATGAATATTTCAGAGACAACCAAATGTGGTGCGCTCTACTTATAAGTAGTATATGACGCGAGTAAAAACGTAATGTCTGGCAGCAGAAGATGGGGGAACATCAAGAAAGGAAGAGTGGGAAAACAATCTAATTTGTATGAAACGCATGAATAGTGAAATATCAGACAATGAATTGATGTTTTGCAAATTAACGATTTACGATATGGTTTTCCTATTTTACCAATTCACTCTGTAATTTGAGATGGATACAATTCGGTTGCCCTAACTTCTGTTCTCCTTTACCACACAATTAGTTAAGGAAATTATCCTTCAGTACCAAGATTGTCAAACTGTTTGTTCAATAAAACACTTTTAAATTTATTCGCATACAGAATAACACGAATTAACCCATATGTAGTATGCAGACAACTTGTTAGGCGTTAAAAAACATGAGCAGTTATTTTACTCGAATTTTACAAATAGTACAGTTGTTCAGTAATCCTTTGTCAGGTGTTAAGCAGTTACCCAACTCATAAGTCAGGAAGTTAAGCGTACGCTTGTGATACCAAAGGTCGTAGGTCGTGTATGCACAGTGGTCATAAGTCCCATAACTCGGACTTGACAGTCGTCTAAGACATCCAGGTTTTCAATGGTGGTCTAACAGTAGTCGACTGGTGATGTCAATGATTAGTGATGATTTGTAATATGAATTCGACTAGTTGCGTAATAAACAAAATTATACAAAATTATCATTTCACAAAGTAATAATAATAATAATAAAAATTCTATTATCTATTATATACTACTTACCATTATTTTTCAAATAACAAATTCGCTTTTTTTGAAAGGTTGTACTGTTGACTGCTAAAAAATTGAAATCTATTTTAATTGAAATGTTAACTGTGAAATACTGTGCATTGTAAATATACAGTCAATTATACTCAAACAAACATGTTCCTTCACATTTTTATTAACCAATCAGAGATTTTTAATTTTAATGTGGAACAACGGTAATAAAAATAAATTTTTCAAGAAAAAAAATGATAATTCTGATTGGTTGAAATATTCATATTCATGTGAAAAAAGTTACGAACAAACAAACGAAAGTGCAGATCATGATTACCACATAGTCGACTGTAAACAAAGCAGCAAGATGGCGGCGGTTAACAGAACAAACGATGAGTGAAACTTGGCGGAATCCCAATACTTCACTTCCTCTATCTCAAATTTTTGCTGATGATGTTGTTCAGAAGAACAATGACAAAAGCTCCACTAGGAAAACATCCAGCTCAGATAAAAACCAAACTCCGGACTTGGGTTTCTTAAATGGATTTAATTGTATCCGCCAAAAAACAGATATTCACATTAAAAAAACTGATATACAGAAGGTTTCACTGAAAAGGACAACAACTTGTTTTGGTTAGGCGTTCTCGTGCAAGACCAAAGGACCTGGGTTCGAATCTTGCGCGGTGCAGGAGTCATGGATGTTCACTGCTGATGAGTCCCATGCAAGAACGAAACAGCCTTCCAATGCTTTCAGGTTTCTAAGAGTGGTCTAACAATGATTGATTGATGATATCAAATGTGTAAAAACACTTTGTCTATTAAACTCATAAATTGAATTGCCTACTAATTTATGTAACAGATATAAAGTTTATTTGACTGTCAATGATTGACCACGCTTTTGACAATAAGACGATATATCAGGTTGATCTGATTAGGATTCATATATGCTAATAAAGATTGACCAGTTTCAATCCGTAGCTCTGGTAGATGATTATGGGGGAGTTTCGTTCATTAAGCTGGATGTTTTAGTTTTATGGAGCTTTCATTTTTCTTCTGAACAACATCATCAGCGCAAACTTGAAGCTGAAGAAGTGAAGAGTATCCGAATTTCTCCACGAATGACCCATTACCTTTTCTCTTAACCTCGATTTTGATTGGTTGTTATTGACCTTAAACCTGTGTGTTGTCTGCACCTTTATTTTGATTGGATCTGTTTTCTCATCTTACGTTGGCCTATAGTGTGTTTGTTGACTGCTGATTGGGCTGTGTGCCGAGCTTTTAAAAACTCGCTAGTCTTCTTTGCGCTCCCTCTATCCAATATTTCAAAATTGCCCCAAATTTCCGTATATTAATAGTATTTCGTATGTATTGATATAAGGAAAGAAATGTCATGTCGTTTGACTGTTAATTGATTTTCACATAAGCAAAACTGTGTAGGACGTCTAGTTTGTCTTAAGTAGTGTTTTCTTTCACAGTTTGAGCAGTTTATTTTGTAGAAGATATTTGGTTACTCTTCTTTTGTCATTTTGTCCTTTGGTCTACATAGGATTCATTGAAACGATTCTGTTGGTTTGTGTGCTACATCTATTCCAAATGCGTTCACTGGTCGTGCTGTAATTCCCGATATGTCTTTTATACAAGGTAAGATTATCATTTTGATGGTTCCTGTTCACAGTGATTACAGTACTATAGTTCCGACAGACTCCTTCATAATAATTACACATATTGTGTCAATATTAATTTTAAAAAACAATACAAACTACTTAAATCATACCTTAAACACTCGATATTCGATTCAAATCAATGCCGTTTGATTTGCATCTAGCAGTTTTAAATATTCATCACGAGATGATCTTTTGCATAATCATTTATCAAGATACATATATTTTACCTAGCAGTTTAATAATACTCAAAAATGATGAAATACTCATCATTGACGGATGCCTCAATCCCATTCGGGCCATTCATAAATACCGCGGTGGAGAAATTAAATATATGTCAACAGTATCTATGAATAAATTAGAGGTTGGGCGTTTTCGCGCAAGACCGAAGGACCTGGGTTCGAATCCTGCGGGGTGCAGGAGTCATGGATATGCACTGCCACTGATGAGTCCCATACGAGAACGAAACAGCCGTCCAGTGCATCCAGGTTTCTAATGGTGTTGGTCTAACAATGACTGATTGATGATTCCAAATGTGTATAAACACTAATCTCCATAACTCTAATCGTCGAAAGTAGTATAATTCGTTTTGCATTGTTTCTAATAATCGCATTAGCGATCGATTGAAGTAGTCAGAAAATAGACAAACGACATCGTTAACTCATCATTATAATTGTTTCCGGTTCATTGTCTTTTTGATAAAATTAAGTAATTTTCAATAAACTACTAATAAACTGTCTCTTATGTTATACAAACTATGTATAAAGAATACTCAAAGAAAAAAATAATTTTTTATCAAAAATATCATTTGTATTCTCTTTAATTGAACCAACTTAACTTAATAACAAACAGTAATCAAGTTCAGTTAAACGAGAACAAACCATCAACCCACGAAGTACTGACGGTTTTCAGTGGTGTCATCGACTTCTGGAGAATCTGGTGTCTGTTCCCTTGATCAACTTATTCAATAAAACAATAAACATATAGACAGAAGCAAACTAGAACACAACTAACGTAAACATTTGATTTGTGGTTTTAATGAATACTGATATAAGTATGAATCCTTTGACATTGAATTAGTACTTGTCAGTGACATAACTCTTCCTGGAGCCTTTCTAGGATTACTGCCGGTCGCTAGTCCAGGTAAAGAAGGACAGTTGAGCATATTTTTACCGATCCCATCCAACTCGTTAATAAACGCTAATCGGAACAGATAATTCGCTGGTCGGTGACCTGTGCTCCATTAGAGATAACAGACGTAAGTAAGTAAGTAATGACGTACTCTATCAATAATTTATAAATAAACTGCAGCTTTTCAAAACCATTAAACATGTATTCATTGTGTGATCTCAGTGGAGAAGAGTAGAATGATTTATTTCACAATAAAATACTTCTGTTTATCAATATCATTCTCCATAACTATCTCATACAATCTATCATGTGCTCATTAGTGACTAACACCGTGTAGAAGTTTCTTCAGGTTCTAGTGAAAACTCATGGCTAAAGGAGCTCAATCCTGTTCCGCTGTAAAGAAACGCTCATCGAACACAGTAGATGAAGTTGCACACGACCGTTAACTGAACGAAATTAGACATTAACACAGCTGGATGCCAATTCAGTAGTCCTGAAGTTAAGCAATCACGCACAAGACCGAAGGTTTCAGGTAGTAGGATTCGTGGATGCATACTATCCTATACCAATGCTCCAAAACAAACCATTTGTAACATGAACTAAGTCAATCAAATATAATTTTATATAAAAATATACTTTTATATCTTACATCATTACCGTCATTCTACTATGACTGACTAACAAGGATAATATTTAATTTTTTTCATTTCTGTTATCCATGAAACAAAAAAAACGCCTATCAACACTTATCAACATTGAACAATCATAAAAAAACAATATTATTGACTGAAAATTAATAAGATAAATAATGTGTTTGCTTGTTTGTTTATTTACTTATCAATCTTTGAAATAAAAAAAAATGATTTAAAACAGAAAATTTTTAATTTTGAAAAAAATATATAACAACTAAGAATTCCTTTGAAATTGCTAATCTTTTTTGGTGTGTAAATCACTATAATTCAAACAAATCTGCAAAAAAAACTATCTGCATGTGTAGATCATTTTTGAATTTTTAAATCTACCTCGCTTTTTTTTATTAGTGTTGTTAATTTAGTTAAACAAAAAACAATGAACAACAGTGTTACTTAAAAAAATGTAATTTTACTATGAATGTATGTATCTATATATGTATGATAATGTTGATAAAAGTCAATTACGTGTTATTAGTTTATCAAATATTGAAATCTAGATAAACAAAAAACAAAAATAATTAATTACTGAATGAAAATATTGACTTGTAATAATGTTTTTATAACAGGTGTGGTGCGCGCTACTTATAAGTAGTACATGACGTGAGTGTCAACGTAATGTATGGCAGCAGAAGAAGATCAAGAAAGGAAGAGTGGGAAAACAATGGAATTTGTATGAAACGCATGAATAGTGGTGAAATGTCAGACAATGGATTGATGATTGATTGAAGATTTGCAAATTTAACCGTTTACGATATGGTTTACCTATTTTACTGAGTAACTCTGTAATTTTCGTTAATTACAATTCGGTTGTCCTCACCTGTGTTCTCCTTCACTACACAGGAATAGTAAAGTATACACTCCCACTGTTGATTGAATTATGATCAGTTTAATTTGACATTCATATTATGTCCGAATCTGTTCAGCTTGAATTAGTCATTCTGTCAGATGCTTACGTGAAAGAGATGAATAGTTTCTTTTAGCCTTAATGGCTAATTTATCGTTGATTGAGGTACAGTGAATATCAAGCACAGAATGGAGATACGGACGAATACTGATCAATAGGAGTGACGTACACCCTGTGAAAAGTCATTTTTAAGCGTGAATATAAATAATTTAGAATAATAAAGATCCTCATTGTGAACAATATTTTTTTTTCAATTAGATCGTTATCAGGCTTTATACTGTAAATGTATATATGAATATTTATGATGAAAAGTTTTAACTAATCAAGGCAATTTAAATCAGTGATCACAATGAAATCGATTGCGTAACTCCATCTAACAAGGAAAAGTTGTTTTGTTCGTCACTATGTATGCTTGAAGCTATTACGAGTTCACCTTAGTCGAACGAGACAATTACCAGCGTCCAGGTAGGCTACCTTGAATCCCAAGCGGTAAAACAAAAGTCTTGATAAGCGTAAAGAGTATATTCTACAAACATCCAGCAAGCACAGTACAATCAAGCATACAACTCTCGTTTATTTATACATCATAGAAACGTCCTTAGCACAGTTAAGAAAATAGCACACTAAAATACACAGCAG